TTTTCTCTAGCATAAAGCATGAGACTGGTTCTAGAAATAATTCTATCCTTTCATGCCATGAGCGAATCCAGCAATCCTTGGCATTACTTTGGGCTGAGTGCCTAGATCGTGGGGCAGCCAAAGCCTCTGGTCCTGCCCACCCCCCTGAAGTCCCACTTGTACACGCCACCCCGCGCATTAGGTCTGGGGCCACTGGGCGTGTACCTTGTCTCCAGGATGAAGGCTTTTCACCTTCCCTCGGATGTTCTTCACCAGCTCTGGGTAGAAAAACTCTGGGCAGCGCTTGTGATCCGGCTCAAAGAGGGTGAGTGTGATCCGAACGGCTGCTGCGGCCGGCTCAGCGTCTTGATGCTCTTCTGCTCCCCCAGCCTCCTCTTTCCGGGATTTCTTCAAAAATGCAGGATTCAGAGAACCTGGCAGGGAGGTAAACTGGACCCTGTGGGGCTCCGACATGGCTGCCAGCAAGTCTTAGCGGGTGTCACTGCATGGCTTCTGTTAACATTGAAAAGAAGGGCCAGGTTAAACCAAGGTGACAAAAATAATTTTTTCCATTTAGTTATAATATAGATTTAAATTTAAAAGGATTTCATCAAGAAATATCATTTTAATTACCATTTACTTTTTTTCTGCTTACATACTATTCATCTTAAATATAAATTTTTTGTATTAAAATCATCCCAAATCCTGTCACGCAGAGCTAGAGTTCAGCATACTTTCCTCCAGTCTGTTTTTCTATGTGTAGGTACTAGATCCCTGACAGCAGAGAATCCATGCTGACAGAGCTTTGAGAATTCCTCAAAACTGCAAAGACCACTAGAGAATATTTTCATTCCATTTAACCAGGACTATTTTTTTTTTCTGGCTGAGAACAATCTCTTTCTTAAGACCTCAATGTCTGTATTTTCATGATCAACAATTTGTTTTCATTTAGGGCCAATCTTCACAATGACAGTTTTCATAAGCTCACAGAAGGCACTGCCTATCCTGGGATAAGTAAAAACCAGTGTCTCAGGAGGACTGTGGCTACGTTCATTTCCTAACACACCAGTCTCTCACCACACAAACTTGGGCTTTGGCTAGATGAAATTATCATATGCCAAAGACCTTCAAAGCTGCTTGGGATGGTCAGAATAGACTGTGAACCCCCAAAAATTCCAAGGGTTTATAGAACATAATTAAGCAAATATATACTATACATATTTTTGTGTCCTAATTTTTGTGTATAATTTTATGTCCTGCTTTTTTAAACTCACATTCAGGTATAAACAAACTTTCTACAATGACAGATATGTAAGGTTATTCATTCCAGCCTTATTTGTATAGAGAAAATGATAGAAGCAACATAAATGTAAAGCATTAAGGCTATCATTGAAAAATGTGGCTTTGTTGATCTGTAAGGGCTTTTGACATACTACAGATACATAATGCCTGTCATACCTCTTACAAGTACTTTTTCCTGTTTTGTTTACTGTTTAATTTTGCTTAAAGTGAGGTATGATGAAAGAAATTTAAACTTATTTTTCATGTTGAACTCTTGAACGCAAGTTGGATTTACTGTACGGTGGAAGGTGAGGTTCTAACTTGGCTTCTTCCCAGCATCAATCACCAAATAACCTGTCTTCTCCTGATTTGGCCTCTATCAGACAGTAACATCTTAGATACCTTAAGGTCTATTTCTGAAATCCATCCTGTTATACTAGTATCTGGAGAGTCTTCAACCAGTACCATAACTGTTTTGGAATTTTTTATAGTATATTTTAATATCCTGAATTAAAAGTTCCTCTTTATTATTTTTCTTTTAAGAATACTTGGCTACCAAAATAAAACTAATTAAAAAAATTTTTTTATCTCCACACACAAAAAAAGAAAGAATACTTGGCTATCCCAGCCAGTTTATTATTTCCAATCAATTTTAGAATAATTTTGACAAGTTCCCCCCAAAAAGCTCACTTCATTTTGATTATAAACGAATTATAAATGGAACCAATTCAGATTTACATATATCATATACTTTCATATATATATGTGTGTGTGTGTGTGTGTGTGTAGTATTCTTTTTATGATGAGCAAAAATGGTGATTTATAAGACCATACAGATCAGGGCGTAAAATATCTAACAATGAAGAGTTAAAATAATTCCAATTAGGCTGCAAAGTAATTAGCAGCAAAACTGATTGGTAGTGTAAAAGACCACCATTGAAGTTAAGATGTTAAAATTCCTCTAAAAGATATTTTCAGGGCCACCAGACCACTTGGGATGCACTGGGTTGTGACGATTTCCTCCTGAAAAGCTGAAGGCTTAGAGATCCCCCACTGATAAGGGCGGGCAAAGTCTCACTATAAGGAGGGAATCTGTAAATTAACCTCTGGGATGCAGAAGATCATCTAGGAAGCCGCAAACAGATCCCTCCCTGTCCCTGTCCAGGAAGTAATTTTTAAAATGTAACCTTATCTTGGTCCAAATTCTAGACATTGTAACTTCAATCCACCTAGATGGTAAAACTGCTTCTCTTAAGTTGTGTAAGTGATTTTGCATGTCTGAGATGTTACAGAAATAAGACTAGAGAATAAAGTAAATCAAACTTATAGATAAATTAGATTTGGGTTAACTTCTATAATAATTACTGATGTTTGTTAAGTCATTTGAAATATTTAAGAGAATCAGACATACTAATGACACTAGACTTACGATTTTAATTTGAAATGCTTAAGAAAATACAAGTTTGAAAATGTGCATTTAAAAGAACCTTACATTTACACATTTATTAAATTTACAAAAGTCCTTGGAAAGATTTTACTATTAGGTTTATAAGGTCACAGTTTTAGAAGTTTGAAGTATTTGAGAGGATAAGCATATAAATCTTTAAACATGGTTTAAAACACTTAAGGAAATTTAACTTTATTGTTTAGGGGAATTTAATCTGTTAAATTGGCACCTTAATTGAAGCTTTGTCAAAGATTAAGTAGTTTTATTTTTATACAATTAGATTTGTACAGAAAACAAAATTCTGTAAAACTTAAAAGGCTTCAGAAAAGCTGAGAATTTAAATACTCAACTTTAATGTGTTGAACATCATTCTAAGTAAAAGCACAGTATATACACACACACACAAAAATCCCTCTTAAAAAACCTTAGCTGATGTTATCCAAGAAATGCTAGTCTCCTTTTATATCTCAGGTTATTCTCAGGAATTGTACACCTTTTGTTATACATCCTTTGTACATTGTATTTTCAAACTGCTTACGGGTGAAACAGAAAAGCTGAATTTTGTATGCTGCTTTCATAATTAGTGTCATTTATTTTAATGGTTTTCTCTTAAAAAAATTTTTTTTTAAATAGGCTGTCCTATCATCCAGAGATATGAGGAATCTTTCTCCTTTCTCCTTTCATGTCTTATTGCATTGGCTACAACATCCAAGATAATATTAGACAATACAGTCTTTGACATGTTCCTGACTCAAAGGGATAAATATCTCTAGGCCCACTGTGATGTTGATACAAGATACATTTTATCAAGTCATTAAAATATCCCTCGATTCCTCAAAAATTAGTTTTAAAATTAGCAACGTGTTTAATTTTATGAAAACATTTCTGGAATCTTAAACATGCTTTAAATTACCGGCTTGTCTTTAAAACAAAACAGTACATAACAGTCCCTGAAAGTAATTCCAGGTACTTTAGGGACACTGAGCTCCAAAGACAAGCCAGAATGCAGACGAGCCAATTCGCTAAAACAAAACAAACAAACGCTAACAACTAAAGTCTGCGTGACCAAACGCCTGCGGGAGATGCGTGTGGACCCGCCAACTTGTCAAGCAGACAGTAACTCAAGTCTAAGTTAGGTCAACGTTTAGACTCCTTGGGGTTCACAACTGTGATTGGGACCTTTAAAAATATTTTGTTTCCAACCTGGGATGCTGAAGTTTGGGTGGGCGCTGTGTGCTGAACTGCTGTCAAGGGTTCCCCAATCAAAGGTTTAGTTTTAAGGTACTGAAGCTACGCGGGGCAACTGCCTTCCTGTCGTCACAACAGCCTGCGCCCAACTTCTCTAAAAGTGTCAAACTACAACAAGGCTTAGGCGAGAGCCCGGTCCCGACAGACACGCACCTTTGTCCCCAGCGCGACGCAGGCTACGGCCCCGCGGGCCGCGCTCGTCCCCCCGCGGCCGTCCTCATGCCGGCCCGGGAGCCCAGGCTGTCGCGCTGCTAACGGCCGGTCCCCGCGCTCTGCCTCCCGGCGGGCGGCCGGCCTGCGCCGAGGCCCATGGCCGGGTCCCCGCGCGCCCGGGGGAGCCTCGTCGGCCGTGCCGCCGCGCTGGCGCTGAAGGAAGCGGAGAGACGCCGGTTCCGCGTCGTTTGAGCAACTGGGGACCTCTAGGCGGGCTGCACTGGCGCCCCGGGAGAACTTGCAGCGCGTGCTCGGAGCCGCTCCCCGGCCGCCGGCCGTTAGAAAGCGGACTCCGAAGCCCGGCGGCCCGTGCGTCGCACCCCGGGCGCCGTCACGCAGAGCCCGCCTGGCACGGGCCCCGGGCGAAGGCTGACTTCCAGGCCGCGCCGAGGTCCGTCAGGGTAGCTCCGACGCGGCAAAGCGGCTGGCCGAGGGATCCGCGGGGACTAACGGCCGTAACGGAAGTGCCAGCGAGCGAGGGCGAGGGAGGGGCTGGAGGTCGGGGTCCGGGTGCGGGGCGGGCCGCAGGGCCGGCTCTCGCACGCAGCTCGGCCGGCCGCACTGTCGCCGATGCCGCCAGAGCTCTGGGGCGCTTCGTTGTCACGAGCCGGAGGGAGGGGGAACGAACCGGAGACCAGGAGCTCCGGTGCGCGGAGACCGCGGTGCCCGGGTCACGTGTCGCTGAGTCCGCCAATGAGCCCTGGCGGACGCGGTGACGACAGAGTAGCGGCGTGGCCGGTGACAGCCGCCCCCGTCACGTGACCGGGCGGCTCCAATGGGCGGCGCCGGGGAGACCTAATGTTCCCGGCGGCCCGTGCGTCGGCGGTGGTTGGGTGGTAAGATGGCGGCTGTGAGTCTGCGGCTCGGCGATTTGGTGTGGTGAGTACGGACGGCCGGGGCCAAGAGAGTTGCGCGGGGGAGCTGTTCTCTTAGGCGCGGGGTTTGCGGCCAGACCGAGAGTTGCCTTTCTCTGCGCTCCAGGCCCTGGAGAAAAGGCGAGACGAGGTGCCGGCGCTGGGAGCAACGCCGGGCCGAAGGGCCACTGTGGCCCCGGGGGACTGAGGTCGCGGGTGGCCACGGAGAGCCGGGCTTCGCGCGCCGAGGCGGCCCGGGGGAGGCTGCGCTCCGCACTTGCACGCCGGCGGCCACCGAGAAGCGAGTTCCTGGCACCGGGCACCTCCCGCGTACGCCGGGTCCTCGGGGTCCTCCTGAGGCTCCTCGGAAACGGGGAGAGCAGGGTAGCCCTCGGGGCGCTCGTCCCGGCAAGCTCGTCAAAACCAGCGTTGCGATGGAACCGACTGTGCGGGCGGCCAGCCGCCTGGGTTTTCGAAACCAGACTGCCGGCCCTTCCCCGCGCAGAAGTGGAGGGGGGACTTCTCCTTTACAACCGAAGGCTTGGCAGTCATGTGTGCCTTCTGTGTACCGCTCGTGGTCTACTTCTGTGTCCCAGACAACTGACTGTCGCCGCCTCCCTCGAGCTGCGTAGCCCGGTTCTCCACCCAGAGGAAGGCTACGTTAGCGTTTGTCAAAGCCGGGCTGTTCTCCTGGTGAATTAAACCAGACTTTGTAGGGGGAAGTCTGTGTTTACAGAGCAAACTTTACTCCCACACCCCCCCCGTCACAGGGAGTCTGTGGACAAGTGACTCTTGGCGGTTTTGTTGTTTTGTATTGCACACACCTTACACACATACGTATATCATTTTGCATTCCGTTTCTAAGGAGTTTGGGCCTTTTGGGCCCAGGGGTGGAAGCCAGATTAAGAACTCCAGTTTGCCAGCTCTTGTTCTCGCACTTAAGGATGTAAGTGGGAGATTTAGGTAAATAAATCGCTTGTTGAATGGGTTGAAGGAAATGGCCTGGCTTTTCCAAGGCAAATGCTGACTCTCTGTATTTTCTTTAGGGGAAAACTAGGCCGGTATCCTCCTTGGCCAGGAAAGGTGAGTGTCTTGCTACTGAAGGAAGACATCTGAAGTTGTGTTTGAAGACGTGGAGAATGTAAGATGCATTTGCCTCAATTTTTAGCATTGAGTTAAATTGGGCTTATTTAAATTACACTCAGAATTTTTTTTCTCTAGTATCAGTTTGTTTAGAAAAAGCAATATAATACAAACTAGGTCATTTAATCTGTAGCAAATGCTTATTTCTTGAACCAAATATACTTTTGGTGAAGTCCTTTAGTCCTGGAAATCAGTTCTAATTTGAACTGAGCTTTACACTTAATTTTAACAAAAGGAAAAGAAAATAAATTCTCCAGGAAGAGAGCTAAATGTAGGTTAGTAAAAAGTCAAAGTATTTTTGTTCCAACTAAGTTTAAATCTTTCCGTGTTACCATATGTGCTGCTCCAGTGCATCTTCGCAAATGTTGGCACTCCAAATTTTGCATGAGGCAATCCATAATAGCTTTCCAAATGTTCTGTTTTTATATTCTTGCAAAGAGCCCAGGCAATGTCTGAAGACTGTCTCTTTATAATACGGCATTTCCAGTTGTCCTCCTTTATCCCTGTTACCTATCTCAATTCTCCCTGCATAGATGTGTTTTTAAGGGTATCCTCTGCATTTCTTCATGACAGGGTCACATTGGAGGGGCATGACATTGGTCTTAGTGTTAAATGCTTTTCTTAAAACAGGGCCACTGCAATAAAGAAGATTCTGTATCTACTGAACTCTGTGTTAAATACTAGTTGTATGGAACTTGTAGAATATTTGCTCATTGCCATGCATTCTCAGTAAAAAAAAGTCTCAGAAGCCCTGGGTGCTCTTGAGACATAGTCCTTTTGGTTTTTTGGTTTTTTTCCCCCCAACTTAGAACTGTGGAAAAAAACTTTTTTTTCCTTTTTACTCCCCAGATTGTTAATCCACCCAAGGACTTGAAGAAACCACGTGGGAAGAAATGCTTCTTTGTGAAGTTTTTTGGAACAGAAGATCAGTGAGTAGCGCTCACCAAGTCTCACTTTCTGTCTGGACATTGCTGGGTCTGAGATGCTTTGAGAGTATTTAGGAACCTTAGTTCATTACTGCAGTCTCTGGAAATAACATATCATCCTGGCTTCAAACCCGAAGAAAAGGTGCTATTCTTCTTTCATAAACTGTCCTGGGGTTAATAACCATGTCCAGTCAGGTGGGACTAGGATTCAACACCTGCTAAATATGAAAACCATGGCAAGATAGTTTCGCACATCCCTTTACTCAACCCCACAGGCAGTTCTTTTTATAAGGGCCATATTTGGTTCTCTTCTGATTGCTCTTTATCATTGTGGCTCATGCATGAGGTACACAGTGAAAACTGTGATCTTAAGGGTCTTAAATTGTTTAATCCTGTTCTTTTTTGTAAAACTAACTATAATCTAACAGTAAAGCTTTTTAACTAATTCTGTCCTAGAGTTGAAACCATGGCTCTTAATTTGAGATTCTTTGATAGGTTATATAACTTATAGTGAGGTGATGAATGTGTATTTACTTGAGTTTCTAGTGATTTGTTAAGCTTTCTCATCATTACATCAGTTTAATTACTTGGGTCCAGCCAGATGGTTTGATTTCTTTTAGTTGTTGTATTTTATGATTCTTATAGGAAAATGTAGCTTTGGGTTTGAAAACTATCTGATTTTTCTAATTTATTACTAGTGGTTAAAAAATATGTTTCTAGAAGTAGTATTCCATAGCAAAATCTCTCATGGTGTTCTTCATTCATTCGGGAGTTTTTATACGTTGATTGCTCATCCTGGTTTAGAGTTTGCGTGTCATGTCTACCTTCACCATACAGGCACACCAGTATACACAGCCCCAGTTCTGTGACAGACCCACCTAGTAGCCTTTGATAGCATTATTCTGAGGGAGTCATGGCTCAGAGCTGTGAGAGCCAGGTACACTCTGGAAGAGGGAATGTTCTAGTTATGTCACGATTTCCCAAGAAAGGCTGACCTGGTGCATAAAACAAATGCTCCTAGTGCAGCCACACTCCACATTGCTGCCACCAAAGGGAACTTCCAAGAAGGCAACTGTTACAGTCCCTGCCTTCCCGGAACTCAGGTGACAAGTCATAAACGCTTCAGGTGGGATTCAAAATCTGCAGAATGAGCGAGAGAAGTCATTATTAAAGGGTTCTAGAACAAGAGCTGTCAGTGAAGAGCAGCCAGTTCAAGAAGGCTGACAGAAGAGGTAGGATTTGAATCCACCTCTAGAGGATGAATAGAATTTGGATAGGCAGGAACAAGAAGGGCGTTTGAGGCAGTGGGGATACTGTGAACAACTGGGCATTAAGTAGGATGTATGGGCAGAAAGAGGCTCCCTGCCTGGGTTAAAGATCTGTGCTTGGAGATGGTTGGTCCATCTTGGTTAGCTAAACAAAGTACAGAAGTCTGAAACAAAAATTGGAATTCATAGAAAGTAGGGACTTAATCAGATTACAGGAAGCCTGAAAGCCATTATGTTCTTAAAATTAAAAGAAAAAAATGCCAGAAGAATTAATTGATCCTGCAGTATTATAAGTACTACAGATAGGACACAGAAAATTGAGGTAGAGTAAATCTCAGCACTGAACCAGGCAAACAGGTGAAGCCAAAGAAGAGGGTGCAAGTAGTGAACACAAAAGTAACCTGTTGGTGGTAGTGATGTGATTTCTAGCTGAAGTCTTTCCAGGGGATCCATAAGCAAGTAGACACAGCACAACCATTAGATACATTTAAACCTTTTAAACTCTCTTGAAAGAGTTCCACAAAAAAAACTATCTGACAGTTAAGGTGACACAGGACTAACATTTTTTTGTGGTGAGGTAGGTGACTTGCTGAAAGGAAACAAAGGGTCAGAATGTGTGGCGTTCATGGCGGGGAGAGGGGTACCTGGTGATCAGTGTTAAGGAGGTGCTATTTAATGCCTGCATATCTTCCCGGCAAGCTCGTCAAAACCAGCGTTGCGATGGAACCGACTGTGCGGGCGGCCAGCCGCCTGGGTTTTCGAAACCAGACTGCCGGCCCTTCCCCGCTCAGAAGTGGAGGGGGGACTTCTCCTTTACAACCGAAGGCTTGGCAGTCATGTGTGCCTTCTGTGTACCGCTCGTGGTCTACTTCTGTGTCCCAGACAACTGACTGTCGCCGCCTCCCTCGAGCTGCGTAGCTCGGTTCTCGACCCAGAGGAAGGCTACGTTAGCGTTTGTCAAAGCCGGGGTGTTCTCCTGGTGAATTAAACCAGACTTTGTAGGGGGAAGTTTGTGTTTACAGAGCAAACTTTACCCCCCCACCCCCCACCCCGTCACAGGGAGTCTGTGGACAAGTGACTCTTGGCGGTTTTGTTGTTTTGTATTGCACACACCTTACACACATACGTATATCATTTTGCATTCCGTTTCTAAGGAGTTTGGGCCTTTTGGGCCCAGGGGTGGAAGCCAGATTAAGAACTCCAGTTTGCCAGCTCTTGTTCTCGCACTTAAGGATGTAAGTGGGAGATTTAGGTAAATAAATCGCTTGTTGAATGGGTTGAAGGAAATGGCCTGGCTTTTCCAAGGCAAATGCTGACTCTCTGTATTTTCTTTAGGGGAAAACTAGGCCGGTATCCTCCTTGGCCAGGAAAGGTGAGTGTCTTGCTACTGAAGGAAGACATCTGAAGTTGTGTTTGAAGACGTGGAGAATGTAAGATGCATTTGCCTCAATTTTTAGCATTGAGTTAAATTGGGCTTATTTAAATTACACTCAGAATTTTTTTTCTCTAGTATCAGTTTGTTTAGAAAAAGCAATATAATACAAACTAGGTCATTTAATCTGTAGCAAATGCTTATTTCTTGAACCAAATATACTTTTGGTGAAGTCCTTTAGTCCTGGAAATCAGTTCTAATTTGAACTGAGCTTTACACTTAATTTTAACAAAAGGAAAAGAAAATAAATTCTCCAGGAAGAGAGCTAAATGTAGGTTAGTAAAAAGTCAAAGTATTTTTGTTCCAACTAAGTTTAAATCTTTCCGTGTTACCATATGTGCTGCTCCAGTGCATCTTCGCAAATGTTGGCACTCCAAATTTTGCATGAGGCAATCCATAATAGCTTTCCAAATGTTCTGTTTTTATATTCTTGCAAAGAGCCCAGGCAATGTCTGAAGACTGTCTCTTTATAATACGGCATTTCCAGTTGTCCTCCTTTATCCCTGTTACCTATCTCAATTCTCCCTGCATAGATGTGTTTTTAAGGGTATCCTCTGCATTTCTTCATGACAGGGTCACATTGGAGGGGCATGACATTGGTCTTAGTGTTAAATGCTTTTCTTAAAACAGGGCCACTGCAATAAAGAAGATACTGTATCTACTGAACTCTGTGTTAAATACTAGTTGTATGGAACTTGTAGAATATTTGCTCATTGCCATGCATTCTCAGTAAAAAAAAGTCTCAGAAGCCCTGGGTGCTCTTGAGACATAGTCCTTTTGGTTTTTTGGTTTTTTTCCCCCCAACTTAGAACTGTGGAAAAAAACTTTTTTTTCCTTTTTACTCCCCAGATTGTTAATCCACCCAAGGACTTGAAGAAACCACGTGGGAAGAAATGCTTCTTTGTGAAGTTTTTTGGAACAGAAGATCAGTGAGTAGCGCTCACCAAGTCTCACTTTCTGTCTGGACATTGCTGGGTCTGAGATGCTTTGAGAGTATTTAGGAACCTTAGTTCATTACTGCAGTCTCTGGAAATAACATATCATCCTGGCTTCAAACCCGAAGAAAAGGTGCTATTCTTCTTTCATAAACTCTCCTGGGGTTAATAACCATGTCCAGTCAGGTGGGACTAGGATTCAACACCTGCTAAATATGAAAACCATGGCAAGATAGTTTCGCACATCCCTTTACTCAACCCCACAGGCAGTTCTTTTTATAAGGGCCATATTTGGTTCTCTTCTGATTGCTCTTTATCATTGTGGCTCATGCATGAGGTACACAGTGAAAACTGTGATCTTAAGGGTCTTAAATTGTTTAATCCTGTTCTTTTTTGTAAAACTAACTATAATCTAACAGTAAAGCTTTTTAACTAATTCTGTCCTAGAGTTGAAACCATAGCTCTTAATTTGAGATTCTTGGATAGGTTATATAACTTATAGTGAGGTGATGAATGTGTATTTACTTGAGTTTCTAGTGATTTGTTAAGCTTTCTCATCATTACATCAGTTTAATTACTTGGGTCCAGCCAGATGGTTTGATTTCTTTTAGTTGTTGTATTTTATGATTCTTATAGGAAAATGTAGCTTTGGGTTTGAAAACTATCTGATTTTTCTAATTTATTACTAGTGGTTAAAAAATATGTTTCTACAAGTAGTATTCCATAGCAAAATCTCTCATGGTGTTCTTCACTCATTCGGGAGTTTTTATACGTTGATTGCTCATCCTGGTTTAGAGTTTGCGTGTCATGTCTACCTTCACCATACAGGCACACCAGTATACACAGCCCCAGTTCTGTGACAGACCCACCTAGTAGCCTTTGATAGCATTATTCTGAGGGAGTCATGGCTCAGAGCTGTGAGAGCCAGGTACACTCTGGAAGAGGGAGTGTTCTAGTTATGTCACGATTTCCCAAGAAAGGCTGACCTGGTGCATAAAACAAATGCTCCTAGTGCAGCCACACTCCACATTGCTGCCACCAAAGGGAACTTCCAAGAAGGCAACTGTTACAGTCCCTGCCTTCCCGGAACTCAGGTGACAAGTCATAAACGCTTCAGGTGGGATTCAAAATCTGCAGAATGAGCGAGAGAAGTCATTATTAAAGGGTTCTAGAACAAGAGCTGTCAGTGAAGAGCAGCCAGTTCAAGAAGGCTGACAGAAGAGGTAGGATTTGAATCCACCTCTAGAGGATGAATAGAATTTGGATAGGCAGGAACAAGAAGGGCGTTTGAGGCAGTGGGGATACTGTGAACAACTGGGCATTAAGTAGGATGTATGGGCAGAAAGAGGCTCCCTGCCTGGGTTAAAG